TTTAGGGCTCTACCCCAGAATGACTGTGGAGTCAGTCCAGTAGATGAAGGTTTCGGTTTTTCTGCTGAGGTTAGGGGACTCTTGAGTAAGCATCCACCTGTATTCTGCTTCAGTATGAAGGGCTCAGGCTTCTTAAACGTCTAAATAGGTTGCAGAGTTCCCTGTCTTGCTGTAAGTTACAATGGTAGAATTAAGTTACTGGTTAGAGTTAGTGTGTTCCAGTGTCGAGAGATTTTTTTTTGGGTCTTTTTTTGCTTTTTATACCAGAATTTCGTGGTGGTTTTTTTTTGTTTTTGTTTCTGGTGTTGTTTTTTTTTTTTTTTTTTTTTTTTTTTTTTTTTTTTTTTTTTTTTCCTGATAGCATTGTATAGAACAGGCATTTCATTGTGAGGAAGGAGTGTGTACACTACAACTGTTTATTATCTCTTCCCTCTTCCCTTCTTGGTGCTGTGGCCAGTAAGTGAGGTTTTGCACAGAAGCCTTGAAAGTGTTTCTATTCCATTTCAGCCAGGGTTGCTGCGTATGTTAATGTTCCTTGTGTGGGAAAACAATGCCATGCCTTAGGCTAAGAACAATGGAATCACTTCTGTTTGTAAAGGCCCTTAAGATGATCGAGTCCAATATGTTGTGGTTTGACAGTGCAATGAAGTGCCCCATGCCCCTGCTCCAGCTTGGATTTACCCATAGTCTGCAGTGCCTTAGGGCTGTACCTGCTTCAGGTGGAGCCATATCCGTGAGTCACAGTCTCCTCAGGGCTATACCTGCTGCAGCAGAGATTTACTCAGGCACAGTCCTTCAAAGTGCACCTGTTCCAGTGTGGCCTGCAGGGCCATAATCCCTCCAGAGGTGTGCCTGCTGCGGCAAGTCACAGCCACAGCCACTCTGAGAGGTACCTGCTCCCCCCATCTACAGGTCACAGTCCCTCCAGCTGGAGTTCACACTGCGGCTCCAGCCTGTCCAGTGCGGCAGCACAGAACTGGCAGTGATGCCCTGCCCACCTGCCAGGTCAGGCCATCGCTGTGGCTGTTATCAAAGCATTCCCAGGCACAGCAGGAAGCTGATAAGAATGATGTTCTTCATGTCGGGTTTTCATCAAACAATAACTGGCAAACTGAATGCTGTGCCAGCTAACAATAGTAATTCTGGGATGTATGGAAATGGGTGGCATGTGGGCCTGGGCAGAGAGAGCAAGTAGTTTCTGGAGGTTCTCCATGGTCAGTGCCCTGTTAGTATTTTCTCCTGCATGAGCTGGGAACATAGAGGTCTGTGTTCAGCCTGCAACCATGCTGTATTTTGTATTTTGAATAGTTGGGTTTTGGGGAGTTTTTAACCAATTCACGTGAAGCTCTGGGGTGTATTTTATATAGTCATTATGTTTGCTGGCATTCACAGAAATAAGACTGAGAGTGCTTTCCATGTAAATCAAAAGAATGTGCTCAGGACAAACCTTGAACAAATGTTGACTTCCTTTGGCCACAGCAGCCATGCACTCAATATTACTTGAGCACAAGCACAGAAGTTAAGATACTACTTCCCCTGTGGTGTCTCTCTGCAGAGCAGAGCTCTTGTGTCACCTGTGGTCTGTGCTTACAGGTGCTGCAGGACTGTTCTGCTAGCTTCTAATCTTTTGTAAAAGATAGGGCTTCTATATACAGGAGTATACTAGGTTGTTGGTGTTTTCTTACAACAACTGAACATTCAAAGATGTGACTAAAACATGGGGTTGATATTTTTCTAGCAGATGAGTTAAAAAAAAAGAATCCCTGCTACTTTAAATTCAGTTTTGTTCCAAAGCTGGTGCATGGTGCATATAATCTACTAAGCAGGAGACATGCTGTTCTTCAAGGGAATTTAAAAAAATTTGACTAATCCCCTGCCCTAGGGAAATACCCTAAAAATCCCCATCTCCTCAGACTAGACAGCAGAGGGGCTGAAAAGGGAACTGTAGTGAATGAGTTGCAATATCCAGTTACATCCTCATTAGAAACTCCTGGTACTGTGGCAGTTTGAGTGGTAGGAGACCTTCCAGTGTAACTTCTTTCACATTCACTCTAATAGGACCTGCAGCAGTTTAAGCACTCAAAGCTGAGTGAATTTTTGCCTCTGAAAGACAGATTCAATGAGAGAGACCAATTTGCCAAACACAGTGCTATCAGAGAGCGCTGGTCTAGCTGCTTCTGTGCTTTCATGTGCTCCATTCGAAGGTCCCTTTTTATCTATCCATCAAAATGGGATTTTAGGAACCAAATTCTCTATACAGAGTGATCTCTTTCTTGGTTTAATTATTTTTCCCCTCATTCTGAACTTCCTTAGAGTTGTGATGCAGGGTTTAAACTGAGTCTGCAGCTGAAGCCTGAGGGTACTTAGCACTTCATAGAATAGGAGAATGTCCGTTTAAGAAACAAGGTTAAAGAACAACAGTGTTAGGTCTTGAAGGATTGATACATTCGTTCATTGTCTTATGATGCTTTTTATAGTGGCTTGCTTTTGGTTTTGGCTTTCTTTTACTTACTTATTTTGTTTTTTAAAGTGATTATTTGGTCGGATAAATTTTTGTGAAGTTCTTCTGGTCACTGGTCAGCTAGACTGGAGAAAAAAAATCATTGGTCTTTCATTGTGTTTGGATCATTCCTGATTTCCTTGTTTTTCCCTTCTCTCAGAATTATTTTCTTTTACAGTCAGTGCCCTTTTGTATGATATCAGGATAGATTTTGCTAGCTTTGATTACAGGAAGGAATGTAGGCCATAAATAGATGGTATATATACTGCTAACACTAGGAATACTGAAATAGCTCATCTCAAAGACAGGGAAAACCTAGCCAGCTGGCCAAGGGCCAGGAGGTTGCAGGATTGACAGTTACATGTCAAGCCTGAAACGGGGATTAATGGTAGGCTGTGCTCTAAAAAACAGCATGCTGAGCCCCAGGAGAAATTCTGCAGGAGCAAATTCAGGAAGAGCCATGTGCTGATGCCTCAATGCAGTTTTGCCTTTCTCTTGACTCCTCTGTCCCCACAAGGTTGTGGCATTCCCATATTGTTTGTCTCTGTGATCCACATGGACTGGGCTAGCTGCCTTCTGTGCCTTGATGGAATGTACTCAGGAGGGGCTTGTCTACACAAGTTTGTTTGAAGGAAACCCTTCTTGTTGTCTTTTCTATACAGCCAGTTAACTGCAAGAGCACTGATAATTTTTGCAGAAGATGGTGGTGGTTCTGTGTTTCTTCTTTTGTAGGAGTAGAATTTTCCATATCTGCTGCTCTGGAGGTTATAGCTATAAGTTACAGCTATTTGGTGGTGAGGATGTCACTGCCCAACTAAAGAAACTTGATTAAATAATGTACAATAGTTTATTCATGGCATGCCTGACAATGCTCCTGGAGGTTTCCAGACTTTTCATATGGGCAACCTATGCTGCTGTTCTCAAGATCAAAGGGCAGAATGGGGCCAGAATTCTGCCTCTGAATCACTGTGGCACTGTACAGCAGACAAGTGGCTTCCAAAAGCCCTGCTCTGCTAGAGTGTCACCCACCACTAAAACCGTGAATTACAGTCAAATTTCAAATAAAGAGTTTTTGATTACCTAGAATACTATTACAATTGTGATGTGAATCTGGTTAAAGTAGAAAAACTGTGAATCAGAATTCAGACACTCCTGAAAGAAATTGTCTTTTTCCCAAATGGAGAAAAAACAGAGTGTAAGGTGTGGGGTTTGGGTTTTTCAGTTTGCGTGGGGATGGGGTGTCCTTCCACATAGATTTTTTTCTTCCAAGGTATAAAGTAATAAAATTAGGGGAAATGTTTGGTGCTAAGAAAGAGTGGTTTGGTGGGAGAATACTGAAGGATTTTCTCATTTGTCACTTGGTCTCTTCCCTAATAACAATATCAGCACTTGGCCATTAGCTGTATGTACACATGCAGTGTTTGTCAGGAGTTTCACTCTATTTAGCTCCAGAGAATAATACAATTATGTATTTATTATTTTTAGTTTCTGTCAACAATAAAAAGGGCTCTTTTCTTCAAACATGAGTAAGCCAAAAAGGGTTAGCAAAGGCATTATGGAAGTAGTAAATACTCCCTCTGTTCCAGTTACAAACTGCGTCAGCCATTAAGTGTGCAGCACACACAGAAGCATCCCTGGTTCAGAGAAGTGACAGAGAGAGTCACAGACTCTGAGGGAAAGCCAGGCTTTCTGCCTCACCCTGGGACAGGTTTGTCTGCCCGCAGCACAGAGAGGTAAACCTGTGGCTGTAGCACAGAGAGGTAAAGTGACTTTCAAAATTCCTTCGATGTATCTTAAGGCAGGGAGCAGTGTCCCAGAGCATGGGTCAGTCACCTTGGCCTCTCTGAAGGAGCAGATGAGTGCTTCTGTGGGAACTCCAGTTCCCATTTAATGAAACCATCACCAGCTGTTTTTTCTTTGCGCTTAGGTCGTGCATCTGACCTCTCTTCCTCTTGCTCACGAAGGAGATTGCGGGGTTTAGAGGGCAGCTCCACCTGGCAAATGTCACATGCCCTCTGCTAGTGTGGCACCTTAGGTGACTGTCTACCTAAGCTTCAGGCAGTGAGTTACTGGTCTGATTCACTCCCCTCAATCTGGTGCATCTGTCCTGGCAGTCGGGTGTCTCCCGTGTCCATCAGTCGGGTGTGCTGCGGGCTGGGAGCAGGGGAGGTGAGCGCTGCCACTGCCTGCGCTGTCTCAGCTCTGTGCCCAGCTCACCACCCTCAGCCGTGCAGCTGCATGATCAGCACTTGCTGATCAACTCCTGGCTTTCAAGGTTAAAAGAGAAAGGTAAAGAATTAAAAATTGGTGTGCTGCTTTAAAGGTAAGTGGTTTCTTTTGTATTTAGGGTAAGTACTTCTATGTCTGTGCTGCCAGAGCTAAACTGGTATGGGTCATGCTGTCATTCAGTGAAGCGTATGGCTGTTATGTAAAGGTTTTAATTACTTTCTTCATCTGCCTGCTCAGGAACACCACGCGTCTGGCAAAATTTTGAGAAGGCTCAAGGCGTTAAAGAAAGCTCATCTAAATAAAGGAGGGTTAACGTGACATTGCAGTTACTTAATCCTGTATTGTCCTGCCATGTGACTGCAGGGATACTGAGGCGCAGCATTTCTTTTGCATGGTGCACAGATTATGCTTTTCCTGTCATCTTCCAGAATCAGTTGCTTTGTTGAACACATCATGGGAAAGAACAGAGGGACAGCGTACTTTTTGCAGCAAGGCTTCCACACACAGTGACATTTCCAAGGTACAGTGAAAAGCTCACAGGCTGAAGAATGAATCAAAGGCAATCCCTACAGTCAGCTTTTGGACTTTTACCAGAATCAAGGAGAACTGCGCTCTTAAGGTCAGCTATTCAAAATTAGCTAGAAATATCTGGATTTATTCAGAGCTGATATATTAATCAGCTTTCTGTTTGACCTTTATCTGTCAAGTTACTTCTCAAAGGATCAAGCTAAAATCTGAATATTTGTGTCAAATATTTTGCATGTGTCAAATGTACTGCATAGACAGTGAGCACCTTGCCACTTTCTTGCACAAAGTTTGCAGTTTTAATTGCAAAGCCTCTTTTACCTTGCAGCTGAAGATCCTGACACACTAACTCTATTAGTGAAGAATGGATGTTTTATCTCTGATTTTGAACAGGACATGCAATATATAGATATGCCAGATTTGTTTTTGAATGAATTTTCAAACTAGTCTTTGGACTTTCTGCTATTTTTATAGCTGCTATTTTTTTTTTCTTTTGCTGCATTTGTCACAGGGTCCATAATGTGCAGGATTGCATATTCATACAGAATTACTTCATTTAAACTTATCAGGACTTCTTGTTAAATGGGGAAGTGATTACCCTATAGACTATGACAACAGGGTATGTGAATGAAGGAAGTCTTGGAAAATACCGCTGTTCCAGGTGGGATCACGAGGACAGCAGAGAAGATGATGGGCAGCTGGAGTGCCATGAAGGAGATGAAGAGGGCAAACAGCCCAGGCTGACCCCATTTGAGAAACTAATGCAGGATATGTCTCATAATGAAAAAGTGGTGAAAGAATTAACGCTGGGAAAGAGAATTGCCTTCTATCGAGTCAGAGGAGAAATAGGAAGTGGGAATTTCTCACAAGTGAAGCTTGGAATTCATTCCCTCACCAAAGGTAGGCACCATTTCATGCTGAGTAACCTATATAAATGGCTTCCTATGGGCAGAAAGATGCTGTATGAACCTTAAATACACATATAGAGTTTGTGTGTGTATGTGTGTGTGTATTTTTAACGTTTTTGAGTTAATCTGTAGACAGGGTCACACATAAATCCTCAGAGTTGTATTCTGTTTAAAGAAACTAGAAAAAATTTCTCTACATGGCAGCTATTACAGGTGGAGTTCATCGCTGCACTTCATGGAGTTAACACATCCTGTGGCTCACTGCACACTTTGAAGTGTGGTATTGGGCCTCCCCTCCTACAACCTGCCCCGTCCATCCACCCTCTTCCCTGCCCCAGCTCCTGGTCCGCAGGGATACAGGTGATGAATGTCCAGGATAGCGGGTTAGGTATGCTCCTGCCTGCAGCCAGAGGCAGCAAGACTTCCTTTGTTTCATCACAAATTTTACTACTATGGACAAAAAATTTCATTTGGTCATGGTAGTTTTGGTGAGAAATGCTATGCCCACTTAACTGACTTAGTTGTGGATGGTTCTTTACTGTAAAAAGCTAGGATAGGAGCTATGGGTGTGGGAGGAACAGGTGCAGGGGAACAAGCTCTGGTGTTGCCAAACTGGTGTTTGTGTTGAATTGTCAGCTAGTTTTATTGTTTTAATTATACAAAACACCCTGTCTACAACTTCTAGGAAGGACTGGAAGGTCTAGGTAACTGCAGTGGACACTTCAGTCATAGGTATAACTAAGCTGTCAGCAGCTGTCCTGTTTCTTCTTCTGCCTTTGTCTGAAAATAACAGAAATTGGGGGTTTTTTTCCATCAGGATAACTAGTTTTCTCTGTATCTTTGTACACTACTATCTTGCTTTTCTTCTAAGAGTCTTTACTTTTCAGTTTGATTGACTCTCCCTCTCTTCATCATCTGAGATGAGAGAATGAGATACACCCCAAAACTGTGTTACCTTTTGTTATTTTCTTTAATCACCTCTTTCAGCCCAGGTTTAAGGGGGGTGAATTATCCCTCGGGTGCAGTGGTTGTTGCACTGGGAATCTAAGTGGAGAACCGATGGTACTTAATTTTTCACATTTTACCCTGCCAACACCCAAGGGTTGCTTTAACTGGGTGTTGAGTTTTTGGTTATTCTTGTTTCAGAAAAGCATCTCTGTTCTACTTGATCCACAAGTTGTTTCCTCTTCTGTGACGTTTCTTCTTCTTCCCGAGGCAACTGTTTTGTGCTTACTGTTGGAAGAAATGCTGCTCCTGTACTGGGAACACAAGGAATGCTAATGAAAGGCGGTTAGAAATTTGATTCTGAATTAACCCTTTGCTGAACTTACTAAGGAAACAGGTTGCTTTAGTATCTGAATAGAGCTGATTGAAAAATTTTGAACTTCAGTGAATACAGTAAGCTCGGACAAACTAAATACCAAAACCAAAATGGTACTTTTTCTTTCTCTGGAAAAGGTTATTTTTAACAGAAATCTCTCCAATTATTTTTCTTTTGTTTGTTTGTAACTTTTTTTGGTTAAAATGTTCACTGGAAAGGGAGTTGATTTATTTATGCTAAGTTTGTCACTGTCATGAGGAAGGAGGAATGAAAGATAAATATTTTCTGACCCATTCTGCCTGTGAGTTTATCTGTGCCAATAAAATACATGGACGTGGACAGAAGAACAGGAATGTGCACACAGGCATTCATGTACACTCACCACCACCAAAGATGAATCTGTTTTTTTCGGTAGATACACATTTTTGTGTTGGCAATGAAATGATATTCCTGCACAGTGTTAATGAGTGCAAGTCTTCTTTTTAATCTGATTATATAAATAAAAGGCTTCATCATTAATGCTGTTCTGGTCTCTGTGGAAGAGGGTGGTGTGTCAGAGGGCTGTTCAGCTCTTCAGTTACTGCCAGTTTTAATATGGTCTCTCTCCTGTATCATCCTGTATCAAAAGAGGAAACAATTTTTTTTTTTACTAAGATGAGCCTTTGTAAAAATTACATATATATGCTTTTCTGTTGCCCTTGTAATCTGATGCAGCAGGACACATGATTTCTGGAGAGGGAGAGAGAGGAAAAAACTTCAGGATCATACTGGATGATGAACCTTGTTTCCCTCACAAGGGCTGTCTTGGTTGTTTAGAAAACACAGAAAAATCTTTGGTGCTATGATGTGGATGCCATGTCCCATGGCTTGGACAGGCTGGCTGGCTAGCTGGAAACAGGAAGTGGTGCTGAATGGAGTTATATTCATCTAGGGCTAGTCACCAGCAGAGTTCCACGGGGCTCCGTATTGGGGCTAGCTCTGATTAATGTCACTTAGTTTGCAGGTGACAGCACATTAGGCGGGAGTGTTGATCTGCTGGAAGGCAGGAAGACTCTGCAGAGGGATCTGGACAGGCTGGATCATGGGCTGAGGCCAGTGGGGTGAGGTTCAACAAGGCAAAGTGCCAGGTCCTGCCCTTGGGTCACAACAGCCACAGGCAGTGCCACAGGCTGGGGCAGAGTGGCTGGAAAGGACCTGGGGTGCTGGTGACAGCAGCTGAACATGAGCCAGGCTGTGCCCAGGTGGCCAAGAAGGCCAATGGCATCCTGGCCTGGATCAGCAATGGTGTGGCCAGCAGGGCCAGGGCAGGGATTGTCCCCTGTGCTGGGCACTGGTGAGGCCACAGCTCCAGTGCTGTGTCCAGTGCTGGGCCCTCACTGCAGGAAAGACACTGAGGAGCTGGAGAGAGTGCAGGGACGGGCAGTGGGGCTGGGGCAGGGGCTGGAGCACAAGTCCTGTGAGGAGCAGCTGAGGGAGCTGGGGGTGTTTATCCTGGAGAAAAGGAGGCTCAGAGGAGACCTTATCACTCTCCACAACTACCTGACAGGAGGGTGTAGCCAGGTGGGAGTTGGCCTCTTCTCCCAGGTAGCAAGGGATAGAGTAAGAAGAAATGGCCTCAAATTGTGCCAGGAAAGGTTGATGTTTAGGTTGGACATTAGGAAAAATTTCTATACCACAGGGGTGGTCAGGCCTTGGAGTGAGCTCCACAGTGACTGATGAAGTCACCATCCCTGGAGACACGTAAAAGATGTGTAGATGTGCCATTTAGGGACATCTACATGTTTAGTGTTGTGCCTGACAGGTTGGACTTCATGATCTTAGAGGTCTTTTCTGACTTATGTTTCTATGTGTGTTGTGTTATTTAGGGGCTTTGCCCACTACATTAACGTGAATTTTGGTAGAGATTTTCTCCAGAAGTTCATGGCGTTTTCTTGCTAAGGACTGTTAAATTCCTAAGCCCTGTATAACTTTTATTTTACATGCCTTCCATCTGGCAAAGAAAGTGTGAGAGCACAGCTGAATAGAATCAATTACGGGTATACAAAATTTATAGCTAGTAAGAAGTCTGTCGAATATGACACAAATTGCAAAAGCAGGCACCCAGTTTGCTCTTTTTTTTTAAAAAAAAAGCCATTTTAACTTTGTTTTATTTGTATATTTTTTCCCTTCTGCCATCATATCATACACAATTTCTTCCTGAAATTATTTCCCAACTTTTTCCTAGTTTTTATTACTAAGATTTCACCTAGCACTTTTCAAACCTCATACATGGCATATAATCAATCAAAATCTCTTTCAACTCTTTTTGTAATTATTTTGGTAAATAAGCTGCCTGCTAAAAATGTCCTGTTCAGCACAGCTGCTAAGCAAGAGTAATAGAGGATTTATAAACCAAGCATTGTTTGGAAGCAGAAAGGAAGCGTTTAGAAAAGAAAAGGAAGGTGTCAGGTTTCTTTGCATGGAATGCATTTGCAACTGCAATAATGTAGATTTAAAGGAGCTTGGTCCTGATTTATGGTGGTGTTTGAGAAGGATCATGCTCTTCATTTCAAAATCTTTTTTTCCTCTCCTCTTTCCCTTAAAAGTTAGCAGGAAAACTTACCAGGAGGAAAAGTAGAGCAAAATGAAAGGGGAAAAAATTAAGCTAGAAGATTTTATTTTAAAGCCCAAATGTACCCGACTTGCATTGTTAACATTGTAAGAGTTGTAAGCATTTAGTTGTACAAATATAACCTACTGAAAGCTGATGCTCTTTCCTCTTCGTTTAGGAGATCAGTGTGCTATGAACATGAGGAGGGTCTTTCACTAGGTCAGCAGTCACTGTCAGTAGCTGCATTTCCTCCTGGTTCACCCAGCTCCACACCACACAGGAGGTACCTGCTTCCCTGAGGGGCTCTCCCTCAGGTCCAAGAGAAGCAGTGTGACGAGCATAACTGCCCTGTACTCAGCACAGACTCCTAAAAACAGGCACGTCAAGGGATAATTTAGCACCTTCCACCACAAGAATCACGTGTGCTTCAAGCATCTTCTGCACTTTAGTAGGGAGATCAATTGATATATGTATCACACTAAAAAATGTACATATACCAAATATGGAACTTTCTTGATCTGTACAGGCACATGCATAAGTATCCTTAACATTCCTTTATATATGTTGAAATACTAAACTTGAGTTAAAACTTGATAATATTTAGTAAAAACTTGAATGGTTTTATACCTGAACATGTGTAAAAATGTGATAGCCTTCTCTCTCTTTTCTTACAGCAACAAGTGAACAATACCTTTTTTCCTAATTTATTCCCATTTACTAGGAACCAAGGTGAAGTTTTTTTCTGAAAGATTTATTTAAAGTGATTAATTATTAAGAAATCTGTGATTGTTTGACTAAGATAGTCTTGAGGGGGAAAAAACCAAAACCAACAACCAAGAATCCCTTCTTCACAGGAATAAATAGTTGCTTTTATTGCTGTGATCCATTTTAATTTTGCTCTCCTGACAAGTTATACAAAGCCACCATAAACCTGTTTTAACCTGACTAATCCTTCAAATACCAGCTGTGTTCAGAAGTGTGAAGACAAAAGCTGTAACCTACAGACTAAAACAGGAACATAAGGACAACTGTGATTTACCTATTCATACTGCTCTGAGCTACCCTGATGATGTGGTGCAGCTGCAGATACATAGATATATGTGTTTTGTGGCCTTTGGCTTCACTATGTAGGCTTCCAGAAACATGTAGGACTTAACAGCAGGTTTTCATTACCAGAACAGTATGTGCCAGCTAGATTTGCTGTCTTACAGGATCCCTGCAACTTGACTTCAGTGCTCAGAATAAAATAGCCAAAGCCTCTAAATTTCCCACAAATTTGTCTGTCTGGTAGGAAACAAAGCACACAAATTTCACACCTCCATTAGTCTCCAAGTACCTGGCTCCTCTGAGGAGCTCTGAGCTAACAACAAAAGCACAGACTTACTCTACCAGCTGTGAGCACCAAAATCAGACACACATAAGCCTGTCACAGCAAAGCATACCAAGGCAGCAGATGATGTGATCGACCCTTGGAATACTCTACCAGCCTTCAGTCATCCCAGCACTGAGTAGGATGTTGTAGACAGAAAGGGGCAGGGGTTGTGTGAAAGATTGCAGGGCTTAGTGGACACCTGCAGCTTAGTTTATACTGATGAGGTGAAATTTTATTGCACTTCTACAGCCAAGCATTGTTGTATGTAAATGTATGTAAATGGTATTACCATTTTGTACCTGTTGCATTAACAACATGGAAAAAATGTTTTTCTTCTCAGAGAAAGTTGCAATTAAGATTTTGGACAAGACAAAGCTAGACCGGAAGACTCAACGTTTGCTGTCTCGTGAGATATCCAGCATGGAAAAGCTGCACCACCCAAATATCATCAGGCTGTATGAAGTGGTGGAGACACTCTCAAAACTGCACCTGGTGATGGAGTACGCAGGAGGTGGGGAGCTCTTCACTAAAATCAGTACAGAAGGAAAGCTGCTAGAAACAGAGTGTAAAATAATCTTCTCCCAGATTGTGTCTGCTGTGAAGCACATGGTAAGTTGCTCTTACACAGGAATGCTGCCTCTCACTACTCTGAGCTCATTTTTGCATATTTCTTTTGAATTTCAACAGTAGATTTACTGTTAACCAACATTTCAGGCCCACATTTCTAAAAAGAAAAACATCTAACAGCTATAGAAGAGCTGTTAAAGGTATCTGAGGGTTTTCACATCCACGTCAAGTTACTGCCTCTCTGTTGGCAGCTTTTGCGAGGAGACTGGAAACACCTGGTGGGTGGAATCACCCTTCTAGCACCAGTGTTCTGTTTGCTTTAATGTGCTGTGGGCAGCAGTGAACGAAGCTTCGTTTCTTCCCTCCCTGTTTCAAAACATAGGATCAGTTGCTCTTCCGCTTCCAGAGAGGCTGGTTAGGTGTTGCAAACATCCGGCTTGCTCATTAATGAATGTGTGAATCTGTCACTTAAAGACAGTCAATTCCTGTTCCTCACTTCGATGCAAATCTGTGAGGTTAACACCCAACAAGTCACTTGCCTGGTCTTCAGTATGTACACTTAAGATGATGCTATTTGTGTAGAGCCGAAAGCATCTTGTCAAGGCAGAAAAGGAGCAATTAACTACTTCGGTACATCTCTAAACCTTGCAGAGTAATTACAGCTACTTCAAAAAAAAAACAAACAAAAACAAAAACAAAAACAAAAAAAAAAACAAAAACCCACGGAGAATTGTTCTACAAGTCTGAGAAGCAGCATTCGTTAAAATTGGCTCAGGGTGCCCTCCGGTGGCTCCTGTCCTCCTTGCCACACAACAGCTTCTTGCCAAGTCAGAAACAAGGGTGATCCCAGGTCAGACGTCTGGAGACTGCACCGCACACTACTCGAGGCTTACATAAACAGCATGCATTCTTACGTATTTTGATGAAATGATTGTATGTGCTTTAAGTGGTGAGTTAGCTTCAACGTTTAATCCATAGGACAGGCGCCCTGCAGCTACAGGAACTGAATTTACATTTCAAAATTCACATCTATTTCTTAGAATTAAACACAGACTATCAAGCAGGCCAACCTCTTCATTTGTATACAGAAACTTCTGCACATTTCACTTTTGCTAAGCCATCACATCCAGGCTACATAAACCCTATCTCCTTGCTGCCAGTCCACAAGGACAGAGGATCCCTGGCTGTTACTGATGAAAGTTGAAACAGGATGCCAAAGGGTTTCTTTATTGCCTCCAGATACTGTATGGTGTTACTCCAAAGGATAAGGCAGAGAGTGCTCATCCATTCCTTCTAGTTGTTCCAAAGATGAAGCTAAACACTTAATCAAGACAGGTGTGTCATGACTAAGAGCAAATTAAGTTGGAGTCCTTAGCTACTACTGGCATTTCCAATAGAAAAGAAAAAAGTAGAAATTCTGGTGTGTATTATAGATTTCTAAAACTAGAACACCACTAAACTTGGCTGCAACATGAAGTACTGTGAAGCCCAACTCTGTGGTCCTTTTCTCCTGCCACCACCAGTTCCTCATAGGACATCAGATCTCAGAATGTAATAGTAGCAAATTTCTTACTTTATCTGTGATCATGTTCAATTGGTGAACTGTTTAAATCTGTAAGTTGCATGTAGTAATTGCAAAAAAAATGTTTAGTCATGCAGGATGTCGTGCTGCCGTCACACATTTGCTTCATGAAAATAGTTGCTATTAGTTAACAAGTTGAGAGTGCTCTGTTTAAAAATCCCAGCATCCTTCTCCTCCCCCTACTCAATTGTTTTTGTATCCTTGGAGTATTAAGTTAAATTTGTTTAATAATTTTCCCAATTGCAATACTAGTTTCAGAATTTGCTGAAGATAACTCCCTTTCTCCTTCAGGGTAATTAACGAATTAGAGGTAGCCATTGAGATCTTTCCTGGGAACAAACCAATACCAACTTTTCCTCTTCTTCCACAGCATGACAATAATATCATTCACCGGGACCTGAAAGCAGAAAATGTCTTCTACGCCAGTAACACCTGTGTTAAGGTGGGAGACTTTGGATTCAGCACAATAAGTAAAAGAGATGAAACTTTAAAAACTTTTTGTGGCTCTCCTCCTTACGCTGCTCCTGAACTCTTCAGAGATGAAAACTATGTTGGCATCTATGTAGACATCTGGGCACTGGGAATCCTCTTATACTTCATGATGACAGGTAGCATGCCATTCCGGGCAGATACAGTAGGCAAACTGAAAAAGTGCATTCTTGAAGGGACATACACTTTGCCTCCCTGCCTCTCAGAAAATTGCCAGAAACTGATAAGAGGAGTCCTTCAGCCAGTACCAACGAAGAGATACTCTGTCAAACTGATTATGAACAGTGAATGGATGCAAGGAATACAGTTCCCCAAACCTTTACAGACATTTAAACTGGATCCAAAATATTTATCAGACATCAGTACACTAAAAGAAGAAGAAATTGAAGTGAAAAATATTCTGGAAGATCTGGGAATCACAGAACAGCACATTCAGAACAACCGGGGAAGAGATGCACGCAGCTCCATAACAGGGGTCTACAGAATTGTGTTGCACAGAGTACAGAAGAAAAGGGCACTCGAATCTGTTCCTATCATGTCCCAGCCAGATCCAAAAGAAGACGACTCCAGGAACGGAATCGCTTCTTACAGTGGCATTAAACACACATCCAAGCTGTGTTCTATTTTATAAAATTGCACTGTAGGCTTTATGCTCAGCACATTTGACAAAGGGGATTATTCACTTATCCTTAAGCTGCAGTGTTACATTTTTTTGTAATTTTTGAATAAACCAAAAATGCCTCATTTTCTTCGCATTTCTCAATTAACAGTGAAGCACTCTAAAAAAGAGCTCTTGTGCATTTGTATGACCCTTTATCCAGATACTTGGTACTTGGTATAGCCAGAGCAAGAACCCAGTAACTGCCAAGATCATGAGTGGAGGGGATCTTTTAATAAACAGCATGCTACTGCATTTAACCCATTTGGGAGATTCTCTCACAAGCATGTAACAGCTAACTTCTGAAAGCTGTACCTAAGCTCAACACAACTTCACCATTGCAAACCAGGACAGTTTTTGCAGAGAACTAAATTTAAGCAGAGGCCAGACTATAATCTAAACAATTGCAAATTCTTCTTTTGAACTTCCTCATCAAATTGTAACAAGTTAATTTTTAAAAAGCATTTTATTTTCTTTCAAGAAACATCAAAACTGTTGGTGGTTGCAGTTCCCAGCTTGTCACAATTCCAGAAGACAAATCAGGATTCAGTACTTTAACCCTGTATGTGTGGGTGCCTGACTGATTGGGCCTCCATCAGTTACCCTTCTGATGCCTTCCACTGCTTGCACGATTCTGCCACTCTGGAACTGCTTGGACTCCAGCTGCATTCCAATAAAGAAAGATTTAAGCATACTCCAAAACCCATGTAGTTTTTAAATTCTTGCCTTAGCCCTTGTTACCAGCAGCTGAATGCAAGCAGCAGCAAAATCTGCTTATATTCACTGAGCGTTACAGGCTTGTCCTCACTCCTGCTGTCCTGCTTTGGCAACCAAAGCTCGCACAAAGTTGATTGTGGCACTTGATCACTGCAAGTTAAAAGCTGGACAGTCTGACAACTCCAGCTGTTCTGAGCATCACCAAAGTGCAGATGCTCTGATTTTCAGCTTTAGTCACTTATTCCACACTTAGATCTTCAACAGCATCAACTATAGTGCAAAGGACAAGTGTGGCAGCTGTTGTATGAACAGGGACAGCTGACATGCCTAAGCTAATAGGCAGAACCTCTGAGTTTAGCTAAGGAAAGATACGCAACACAAGGTGTGCACAGGTACAGCTGGTGCTCTCACATTTAAAGGCTGGATGCCTTATCTGTTATGACATGAATGAGACAATCATTTCACTTTAGAGGGAATGATTCACATAAATGAGCAGTGGAATGACTCTGAAAGGCCATGCATGGGAAACTGGACTCAGTGAAGCGCAGGTGTGTACAAAGCAAGCACCAAGCCTCCTTCACAGAATTTCTGAGGGTAAATAAAACAATACCAATTTTTATAAAACAGTAATTAATTCCATTTCATAAAGTGGGTATTAATTCCTCCACTATAAACAGTTTCCATATAAAAGCATTTTAAGTTATCTTGAAACATGGCCCTGCTAAAATTGTTTTACACCAGCCTAAGCAACTCTTTTTTCCACTTTCGTAATGGAATTACTAAGCAGAAAGATGCAGAATGTCCACATAGCTTGTGACCCCACAACTCTGGGTTTTTACCAGAGCCCGTTTTCTCTTTCCTTTTAAAGAAAAAGAAATCCATCCTAAAAAAACCAACAAGTCAGCACTAGTCCAACAGGTTTCAAATATCTCAAACTTTATTTTAATAAATGATCAGCCTCACAGACCTGCGAGGCCTGTGCCAGTAGCTCACTTCTTGGCTTGTCCACTGCCAGCAATGGACTTTGTTCCATGACAGTTTGTTTTACAGGTGCCAAGGTTAAGTTTCAAGAGGGCAACCTAAACCAAAATACTTGCAAACACTATCATCATGCATTGCTCCATCATTTTCAGCAGAACAAACAGATTAGTATTCATCAATTTATAATAAACAACTATTTTACCAAGGCTTGACTGTACAATACAGCAAGTTATCAAATCCTAGTGAGTGACAGGTAATACAAACACTTCATTACACACACAAAAAAATGTAATTAACAGAAATAATTTTTTGCTACTTTATGTTAGATAATGTAGCTTCGTAGAATTAGCAAAGAAATAAATTCAATGTAACTTCATTCTGTACATTAGCTCAACTTAAATATATATATACATATATATGTATATATATATATATTACAAGCTTAAAAGGCTCATATCATAGTTCATTTCCAATCTGGGCTTTAAAAATCTACCAGAATGGACTCCCCATAACCACTGTAAATCTATCTACTGCTTGCAAAATGGATAGCTTTAGCTCACACACTGGGGAAGGGGGGAAAGAAATAAAAGACTCCACTCCTACAGTATTACCAATAGAGAGAAGGACTTCAAAGTACAAAGCCAGATTCAAAGCTAGAAAGAGTCTTTTGGAAATGTATTATATAAAAGACAACTAATAGGCTAGAGTTCCAGACAAAGTGATGAACATCACTCTTTTCCTTCGTTTGCCAATTAAAACAGCTCCCAATAGCTCTAAATTTCATTTGAAAAGTCTGCTGTCTTGGATATTGTACTAAACCGTCTATTATGGTGTCAACTTTATTATCCCCTTTCTTTAGAATAAAAAAAATTTACTACCTCCCTTCTTCTTCATCTTTCCTCCCAGTCTCCTGTGACTTAAAATGCAGGTATAAATCACATAAGATGTTAGAAGGAATTACATAGTAACTAACACAGTGGATCACAGAGTTTCTTCTAAGAAAACCACTTGTCAGCCTAGCGGTTCTTGATCCGGTCACTTTGACAGGGAAGAGAGGCTCTATTCCAGCAATGGATGTTCTTGGTTCTATGCCTGTCCCAAAGCAGTGGGGTGATGGGAGGCAGACTAGGAGATGAAAGGGAAGGTGATAAAGTGAAAGAGAATTGCAGTATTCAGAAGGTTGACTGCTTATTGTCAAGGCACTGAGAACCCTAACATTAAAAGCTTGGACTATTTTGCACACACTTGAGTATTAGTAGAAGTTAACAGTGTAGGTTTCAAATAATTTTACATGGAAGAGCAGGCAGAAGATTCCTTTTTTTTTTTTTTCCTTTCTGTGTACGAAGACTTTGTGATAGACTACAGCTACTTCTCAGCAATTAAAAAAGCTCAGACATGTTAAGGAATCCCCACAGCACCTGGCAAGTCCTTCTATCTCCAATATACTCCTGATTTTAGTGTTCTGAAAATACTATAAAATCAGCAAACCATATTATGATGATTTTTTCAAGGAGCCTAACAGTTTTTCCATGCTCCAATTAAGTACTAGTGTACACTGAAACTTCAGTGCTACTGCAATCCTTTTTCTCTCTCTCTCACCCTGCCCTCACACCTCATTTCTTTCCCCACCTCACAGAGGTATCTTAATGCTCCCCATTGGAAATGGCGACAGTAACGCCTTCAGATTCTGTTGTTGCAGGGATTCTTGGCACTTTCTTAGCAGGGCTTGGGATGTGCTAAGAAGAAGGGAAAAAAAACATTAAATACAGTTTTCTAGTTCACAGACATTCATACTTCATGGCTAGTCCAACTCCCAAACAACATTCATGCTACAATGGACGGCTTGGCCTTAAGTCAATCAAATTGGTCATGCTTCATGCAAACAGATCGTGTGAGAAGAGCCAGTTTGTTCCTCTTTCATTCTTGTGCGGTTTCATTCTTTTTATGATGAAATGTACTTTTTAAAATCGCAGTTTCAACTTTTTACTTCTGGCTTGTATGTTACACGTGTTAACAAAGTATTCAATGTAACTTGTAAAACCACTTCCTCTTAATATACATGCACATGCTAAGACAAACATGTAAATGGCTCCACCATTTACATCAAACTTTAAAAGAGTGCCGAGTGTTCACCTCATGAACAATGCCTGGGTGGACAACTCCAACTCTTGCTTCCAGAGGTCCATCACTCATGAGTGGGCGCCGGGCGTAAGTTCTCCTGTGTTTTTCATCCACACGCACAAGGTACCATGTTCCTTCAAAGAGATCCTCGACTGAACACTGTGGAATGTAATTGGCTGTAAGAAAGGGAGTAACACATTGTTAGTTGTTTCCTGGTAAGAGTTTTACCCAGTACAGGCCTTTGCAGACTGGATGCAATGAGACAGAAGAAAACAAGACAACATTTTTACTTCAGACATGTTGGGTGAAATGAACACAAGCTACTTAGAAGCAGAAAGGGCTCGACATATCCTTCACTCTATACCCTAATCATTTAAAGTCTGGCAGATTAAGTGATAAGCATTTTGCTCGAGGACTAGGAATCATTGACATTTATTAGGTTCTTACCCAAATGATGTGTTTCCTGTCTGAGCTTCATGTTTTCAGCAAAGACATCAGGTGCAATACATTTTCTTGAGTCAAGTCTTGTTTTGAGATCAGAAAGGCTGGCAGTTATTTTGTCCAGTGCAGAACCTGCAATACAAAACCATCCATGTAGGGTAGAGTCAGTACTGAGAACTGCACGCTAGTATGTGAATATTTCCAGCCCATTCATAGTTTTCGCAGTAGAGAATCTGAAGTATTAGTCATTTAAAATATTCCCAATTACCAACTGAAAACATTTAACAGAGTTTGAAGACTATTATTTATTTGTTCAGGGAGATGCTTAAACACTCCCTGGAGCTGGACATTCTCAATGTGGTACTGCTGTCATTAAGGCACTGCCCTGCAGGTTTCCTTATACTAGTGGGTTGTGCAACAAGGCATCAAGAGCAAGTTGAGCAAGGGAGGCAGATGACATCACCTCCAGTCACTCACCAGGAGTGGCATCCTGTGTGACCCTGATGGAATACAGGGTAGCAGCAAAACCAGAGCCATATGAGAACACGCTGATTCTCTGTCCCGCAAGCTGCTCTGGGGAGTACCTGCAAATCATGTAACAGCTTTTTAAAGTCAGAACTACGCCAAAGTTCCAGTTTTAAATAACTAGAAACTGCATATAGCTTTGGAAAAGCAACCAGCAAATTATAGTGTCTATAATACACATTTAGCCTACTATGTACATAAATGCTGACTTTTAAAAACACAAATTCAAATACTGCTGTTATGTGATGAGTTTGAAAGCTGACTGGAGCAAAACATGCCTGAGAAATGCC